TATATATATATATATATATATTTTATATATATATATATATTTAATTGTATTTATTTAATTTAATATTTTAATGAATTTTAACTAAACAGTCGACAATGAAAATATATTACACCAGATCATTTAATTTATGTGTTAATTATAAAGATTGATACAATATATCATATTTAGAACATTAGGAATTCTCCTGACTAAAGCAAAACCGAATTTGTCGAAATACGTATACATATATACAAAAAATAACGATTGAAATAAAAGCTAACATCCCTTAAAAAACAAAACCGACTTTAATGTATCATACCTACAATGATCTTTGACTCTGTCCCATAGAAGTGACCAGGTTTCTTCTTCTTCTTTGTTCCGTTAACTCCCAGTGAAGCATAGAGCCTCAACAATTCCTCTGAACCGTATTCTATGACCAGGTTTCTACGTGTCTATAAAAATCTATATAATAAATAAAATAACCTTTTCGTCTCATTTACCCCTACCTAAAGCATACCGTAACCTATGTATTCGTTTTCTATTATTTCTCTCATGTCTATACTAATGTACTTCTACACCTACTTATGGAGCTACAACAACAATATTGCAACAATAACTCAATATATATTCCCCAAGAGGTTATGCGTCAATTGACCTTCACGTAGATCATAAAATAACTATTCTAATTTTCGTTAAAACAAAACTATTAAAAAGGTAGGACCATACCTCGGTGTACATAAATATGTATAGTTTCAGAACATCTAGAATTCGCTAAACTGCTTCATACACACATATATGGTATTTATATATTATACTTTGAAGAGTGAAGGTTATTCAAAAATCATATAATATTTACTTTAAATTAATTAAGTTCATTTTAATCCTCTAAATTAAAATTTGAATATATTAAAATCCACCAATATTAATCCCTAATTCAGTATATAAATTTATTTATTTTTTAATACAATATATTAAATTATTTTAAAATATATATTTTGCTATCAGAAATATATCGATTATAGTCCATAGTCATCTTCATACTATAATCGAAATATCTGTGATAATAAAATACATTTTATTAAATAATTTAAAATATTTTACTTGAACAATTGACCAATTAATCCGTTCACATATAAATAAATAAAATATGGTCATTAAAAAAATAAATTATTATTGCAATATATTAATACCCCGTTTAAATAATTCTGATGAATTTTTCAAAAACTTACATGTTTAATATGGAAAACTACTCTTAAACACGTGCTCTAAACCTTTATAACGTATATTTTAATTAGTCACCAGGTAAATTTAAATAACTTCAAAATATTTTCAATCAACACAATTAAACTTCATCTAGTCACTAAAAGATTATTTTTTAATTTAAAATATTATAAAGAATTTATTTAAATTAATATCACTGAAATATTATCAAACGAATGAAATCAAACAATAACAGTTTTGGAGATTTAAATACTGAAACAGAGATCTGACACAAATAAGGGTGTGTTTGTGTGTATATGTGATATCGTTTTTATTTTGTTTAAACTCTCTGCAGTTTTCATACAATTTGTGCAGCTCTGACAAAGTTAAAACAACCACGCGGCAAATAATAATAACAACAAAATGCGAATACGTCATTTGCATGGCTGTGTGTGTGTCAACTAATCGCTGCCATACATTGCCATGTGCTTTTCAAACAAATTGTAATTGATATTTTTACCTGTAAACCAGAAGGCAATATGTTTATTTTAAATGTTTTGCATTCTCAGGAAAATAACATACGTATCTCAAAGATAAGAAAAACATTTGTTTTACCTACTATATCTGTGAATAAGTTCTTTCCGCAACTAATCTGGACACGTTGCAAAGTTAAATGTAAATTGCTGACATACTTAAGTGCTTAATAAGTAATTTTTTGTTCACTATGTATGGATGACGCTCTTTGCCGCCTATAAAACCCACATGTTGGATATACACAACACAATAACTAATTTTATGAATATAATAATTTAGTGACACTTAATTAACAGTTTTTTGTAATTGTAAAAAATTCAAAATTGTAATTTATTTCTTTAGACTTTCCCACACACGGTATTTTAAACAAAACTTTCGAATTAATGTTTTCACGTGGACCGCTCGACGTTCACACTTGTCTACTATACTAATTTTGACATTTCGCTTTATTCTGTTTGCAAAATTGCACGTGGATGATACCTTTCTAGACACGAGATTTGGCAGCACCAACAAAATAAGTGTTGTAAGTGGGTCGTTTCCATACATTGAGGCTGTAGTATGCGTGGCTGAAAGTAAAAAGAACCCAGTGGGATACGAATACGGTCTGTCGAAAATACCTGAAAGACATAAAAGCATATATAAGCCGTGTGTGAAATCGAGTAAATTGATGGTAAATTGAGGACAGCGAATGTTGGTATTTACCAGAATTTAGAATAGGGTAAATTAAAAAATTAGGTATTACCATTGTGAAAATTTTATAAGATGTTTAATAAATAAATAAATAAATTTGAAAACTTTTAACCAATAATAATAAATAAGTGCAATAAATAAATATTTACATAAGTGCAGTGCAAAAAATCTCTAGGAAATTTCAATTTGCTTGAACTTGTACACGGCCATAAAGGCCCATCAATTATACATATACATGACAATTATTGAAAATGTAACAAATAAATAAAAATGTGCGCTCTTAGTATATACTAAGACATATGTTGTTGTTGTTAGAGCCCACACGGTGTCAAATTGTACTTGGTCGTCTTTGGCGACAAGTAGCTCTGAGACGTAGATCCGACCGTTCTTGGAACCACACTCTTAACATTGTTGCTATTTATTATTTTATTTTCACAGTTTCTTTTTATTACACATTTTCTTAACTCTTAGTAGAAAAATTAAAATATTTTAAAAAATATTCTCATGCCATATATTACTGTTAAATTTAAATATATTTTGAATTGTATTTTATATATATGTTATATTTTTTATATATTTTATATTTTTTTATATATTATTAGTTTTTAAATAAAATAAAATTTTAAATTATATAATAAAATTTTAAAATAAAATTTTAAAAATTGTAAATAAAGTAAATTTATTTTAATGAAATTTCATTAACCTTGTTGGTTTAATAGGTAAAATATATTCAATGATATTTTGCTTCTATGTATCGAAAATTGTGTTCAAATAAGAATGTACTATATATATTCGATTTGCGTCATTCACAGTTATCTTCAAAGATATTGGTAGTTGTCTTTAAAGACAATTGCATCAATTGAAAATTGTCTATTATGTCAAATATTGAATATGTTCTTTTATATGAGGAAAATGAGGTATTATAAGAAATGATAATTGATAGGTAAAAGATCTCGGTCAATTTGATTATTTGAATCAAACAATATGTGAATATGTGTAAATGCAATGTTAAATCTAAAATGTTAATTATTGAAGAAACTTATTTCATGTTTTTTATTAAAAATAATTATTTAATAATAAATTTATATTTTTTTATTTAAAGGACCAAAAATTATTTTTCTTTGAATTCATCGTTCAAATAATAAATTTTTTATTTATAATTATATGATCATTTATATTAAACTTTTGTTAGAAATAAATATTAATCAAAATTAAAGATCGCGTAGAATTTCTATAATAAAATGATTCTATAATAAATTATTCGTAATAATTATAATAATAAATATCAACCATTATTTTTTGCTTTTTAATTACTAATTATTATTAGACGCTACAATGTTGATTAGAGTTGTTTTAAAACGACTTTAGTTAATATTGGCTCATTTGCTTATATCCATTATTGCTCTGATTTTTAAGATCTGTCAAATACAGTTGAGTATTTATAGAGAGGTCTCGGACAGTACTGAATTGTAACAACAAAGTTTTTATTTACTTTTAATTAAATAAATTTTTGGCGGATCATACAGTTGCTTCGACTATAGTGAAGTACCCATCATCGGTGGTCTTGGAATTATCTGTTATATGCATTTAGTTATTCGTAAATAATTTTTTAAGATTGCAGATACCAAGAATTAAGTTCGTACCCTGCAAAATTTGAAGTTTAGATCAACAACCTTACTAGATTTGTATGTTCGAACTTGGAGTTTAGTTAATTTGCTGTGAAAGTTCATTAAAAAATTCAATTGCTGTTTTATATTATAACAAAATTATAAACCACTTGTAGAATAATTGAATTAAGTAATTATCATTTTTTTTTAATTGTTAAATTTCAATACTAATTTTTTGTAGAGACATTAAATATTTATTAAAGAATATAGGTGGGTATTTAAATTTTGTATAAGAGAATCCTTGCAGTATTCTGTATGAACATTTTTTCATATACATAATGAAAAAAAACCATTTAATTAAATTTCTAACCTACCATTTTTTATTATAAATTTGTAGTTCTCACTATTTTAAGTATATAAAATATATGAGTTTTTAAATTAGAATATGTGATTTAAATTAGAAAAATTTTTAATTTTTAAGTGTTTTTAAATTAGAAAAAAATATGTGAAAATATGCTTTTTTAACAAATGAAGAATAAAGAAACAAATTTTATAATCATAAAATACTTCATTTAAATTAACAAATTTATAATATACAGTGGGTTAGAAAACGTTTTGCAACACTTATAAAAATACGAAGCAAGCTAAAGAAACCACCGAACACCAATGCCTTCTTTTATTATTAACTCCACCTTCACCCACTACTCGTTTTTGGTTCAATGGCCTTTTGTGAATGGTTTTTAAAAGGTTGAAAAGATTAAATATTAGGGGAACATTTATCTTCGTTACCCGGTTTTTTTTTTTTTTTGAAAAATAAACACATTTTTCTCCAAGCATAATTTTTATTCATTATATATATTTTAACATATGTACATGTTAAAAAAGTTACAAAAATTAAAAAAAAATTTTTATAGTTAAGAGTTATATTGTAAAAACATAAATTTTAAACCAATATTAATATAAATATATATACATATATATTTAAGTATATACATATATATATGTTTAAATACATTACTGATAAGTTAGTAATAAGTGAATCAGGTAAAAATTCTGCTGGAGTTAATAGGCCGCTAAAGTATGAAATATATTATAAATAGGAGCAAATGTAATCTCTAATGACGTTTAACTCTAGTCCATTCACCATCATCAGTATTTTTATTTTCTATAAAAAAAGAAAATAAAGGAATTAAATGATGCCATACGTAAATTCACATTCATATAATGAACAAGACTTACCTTTTTCTTGTTGTTGTTCCCTTCTTGCTGGAGGTCTTTCTTTTTCATTACGTCCAGACGACCGCCAGCTACTAGAATCTTTTGCTGTTCCTCCACCCAATCGTCGATTATCTCCACGTTCTGCGTTTCTTGGCGCTTCACGCCAATTGTCCATTTGATCTCGACGATCGTCTCGTCTATCCTCACGGCGATCATCTCCTCTCCGATCATCACGACGATCATCTCCTCTACGATCCTCGCCTCTACGATCATCTCGACGTTCATCACGGCGATCATCCCTCCGGTCATCGCGACGATCATTTTGCCGTTCTTCGCGGCGGTCATCACCACGTCGATCATCACGACGATCATCGCGTCGTCCATCGCGACGAACATCGCGATCACCCAATCCACGTCGGAAGTCCCCACCACGTGGTCGTTCATCGTCACCACCAAATCGCCATTTGTCCGTATCCCGACCAGCAGGAGCTTGTCCCCTATTAGGAGCAGAATCAGGATCACGACGAGAACGCCAAGAATCACCACCAGTATCAGCTTCTTTACGTTCATTACGCTCAACGTTACGTTCAACGTTACGCTCGGTTGGTCGCTCACGTTCAGCATGTGCACCACCGCGACCTAAAAAATATCAACAAATATTAATATATTAAAAATGAAAAAATTTAATTATTTAAAACGTACGCCAGTCGGAAGCACCTGTACCCCGTTCGGCACGCTCGCCATGTGGACGCCATACATCGCGCTCTTTCTCACGATCACCTTCAGCAGCCATTTCGCGAGCCAACTTATCACGTTCCTCTTGAATCCTACGTTCAGCTTCTTCTTCTTTGGCACGTTGTTTTTCAAATTGTATACGACGTTTCTCTTCTTCAGCTTCACGTTCTAAACGTCTGGCTTCAGCGACAGCACGTTCTTCTTCTTCCTTTGCGCGACGAATTTCCTCTTCTCTACGCATACGTTCTTCTTCCTTTTGGCGTAACCACTGGCGGCGACGCTCTTCACGTCTCATATTTATGCGTATATTTAGACGTTTCTTGCGCTCTTCAGCTAATGCAACATCGAACATCTTCAATTTTTCCACAAAGAGTGAAGCACGTTCTTTCTTAAGAGCTTCCAAGAACACATCACGATCAGAATACATACGTTTAAGACGATCCTGTTGTGCGACAGCGTCTTTACGTTCAGCGACTGCATTCTCAATGCGAGTCTGCTCTTGAGCTTCCCAGAATTCTTGATCCTTTACTTGCTTTTCAGCTAAATATTTTTCGAATAGTGGAATTTCTTCCATACGCTTAGCACGTTCGTAGTAATCAATTTTCTTTTCTTGCGATTTCAGCTTAGACTGCAACTCTTTATGTTCACGTTTAAGCTCTTCAGATTCACGTGCTGCAATTTGTTCAGCATCCAATTTCTTAATGCCTTCCTCATCAAGTTTCGAAAGCATTTTTTTACCAATTGCAGTTTGAGAAATTTGCTGCACTTTTTCCTAGTGTGCAAATGAAAAGATAAATTAATTCATACTTTATTTATTTAATTTTTATAATATAGTGACACATACCTTTAAACTCTTTTCTCTAATAGCGAGAATCTCATTTTGATGGCGTTTGCGTTCACGTTCTTCATTCTCTTGTTCAAGACGTTTTTGTTCAGCTAATTTGGCTTTACGCGTTTCTTCTTCTACACGGCGCGCCTCTTCTTCCTCACGGGCGTTATTTTGTTTTTCAATAAACTCTTTACGATCCTCAATAATTTTTTGTCTCTGAAGTATACGTTGATGTTCTCTTTCTTTAATCTCATGGTAATGATACACCATTTGTGTACGTAGCTTGGCACGTTGATCTTTTTCACGATTGGGATATACAATCGAAACGGCACGATGCAGTGCAGAAGACATGTTTACAAGTTGAGAACGTATTTGCTCTGAAGGCATTGATTGCAGTGTTGGACCATCTATTTGATCTTCTCGTTGACTCTCAGCCAAATCAGTACCGAAATATACACAACGTTTTTGATGATCAATTCGAATTTGCATGTCATTATGACGCACTGACTCTACGAGCAACTTTTCGAGCTCAAATATATTGCAGAAGCTAACCAGTTCAAGCAATCTGGCAAACTCGATACTCTCATATACTTGCGAAATTTGTCTTATCAGACGCATTATGGTGACATCCTTCAAAAAGCGTACATAAGGAGTTAAAATATCGGTAGAAGATTTTTCAATAACGTCAATTATAGTTTGCACACGCTTGCACAAGTTCAATGGATTAAAGTCAACTTCAAGCCAATTGTACAAGTTACGAAATTCTTCGGAAGCGAGATGTGGCACATTCAACCTCACCTGAAAATATTAAACAAAGATTTAAAAAAAAAAGATAAATTGAAATAATATTCATAACGTACCACTTCCTTTATTAAGGATGCTCTTGTTGGTGGCTGTTGCAAACCCAACAGAACTGCCAATTTTTGTGCCTTTTCTAAAGGACTTTTATCAGCTTCGATGAAACGATCAAATTCTGGATGAGCTGATGGTAGAGGAATTGATAAAGTTGCAATGAGTACATGAGATGCCATACGTTGCATATCCTCTTTTGTTAGATTCTTTTTCAATTCGCGAGTAAGTTGGAACAATTTCAACAATGCTGCAGCATGGAAGAGCTGATTACCAGCTTTTGAGAATACCATAGCGAGCTTCTGGTAATAATTTGCCATTGTTTTTGGCACAGGATTTTTCTTGGACAAAGCCATTAGGCCATGAATATCTTCAATAGCTTTATATGCTTCTTGCCACAACTCCATCTGAATTGCGGAATCTAATTGATACAGTCTAGTATCTAAACAAAGTTGTTGCGTTTCTAGCTTTGTGATAGAAACACCAGCATTTTGGTTGGTGCTTTTACAGATGTCCTCCAAATGCTTTCTTAACTTATCACACAAGCGACGGAATTCGCTCTTACGATTGTATTTTAAACAAAATTGGAAGGCCATGCGCGCAATGTCATGGTAAAGAGCCTCACAATGCGTATTTACACGCAATAACTCCAAACATTGGCAGTACGACTCCCACAGGAATTTAACCCATGGCAATAAAATTGTGCGATCAGAACGATCCTGTGCGTCTTCACCACAAACGGCACTCATCAAAATGCTTTCTGGTGTAGCGATATTATCCAAATCGTCCAATTCAAGTACAGCTACGGCAGCAGAAGATTGAGCTTGTGCGGCTTCAGTGTGCTCTTCGGCCATTCGCAAGTAACCTCGTATAACATTCTCCAACGAGTTGACATTAACTAATTGAAACATGTTGCGGTATTGGAAGAGACCTTCCTTGGCAATATGCGACTTCTTGAGCTCAACGCACAAGTACAAGTACTTGAACATGAGTGGTTCAATAACAGTTTCCGAGTAGGCATAGTTCCAACGTTTGTTACGGAATACCTCTTGCAGAGTATCGAGCGCCCGCAGTGGTTTTCCAACCTCAATAAATTCTATAAAGTACAAAAATTGTTTTATTTTTCAATGTTAGCATGTATATATTTTTAAACTAGATAACGTCATATTAAATAGCAACTTTCGCTAATTTGCAACGAAGGCATTACGAAAAATCTGACATTTCAACTTCGTCATCAAATACGGCCGCATGGAAATTTTCATCAAATGCAGATAACTTACCATTCGCTCTTTTCAAAGCATTTTCAGGACGTTGAGTATAGCGAGCCATTGTTAATTCATATAAAAATTTATGCAACACAAAAAAATCTTCACAATTTTCTACACTTTTTCAATAATGAAATGATTTTTAAAGGCAAAAATTTATATAAATCTCCGGCCCAATTTTACCTGCCGTAGAAATTTATACAAAATGGCCGAATCAAGCGAGCTGTGTTTATGTTGTGGAGTGAATAGTTATAACACATATTCTTGTTTAGAAAAACTGGTATAATTTATACCAAATAATATTTAAATTATTTTAATAATAACAAACAATTGGTTTTTATTAAAAATTTTAGAAATAAATAGAAATAATAATATACATAAATCTATAATAAAATATTATAAAAAATTATAATATAATAGTCCCTTCTTATAATAACTAGATGCAACATTTATTTGAACGTATATATTTTTAAAGTGTTATACAGGTTTTCAACAAAATTTTATTCTTCATTATACAATGAATATAATAATATATATAAAAATGTATATATTTTAATTTCTATTTTAATTAATTTATTGCCATCATTTACTATAGAAATTACATTCTTTCATGTGAGCACAAATTTTCCAACACTGTGAACTGTTATACTAACTCTCAAACAATTATCGTCAACAACAGATTGAGGCTATTGATATTAAAATAATATTATTTAATAAAAATTTTAATTAAA